TTCCTCCTAGTGGTGGCAGGACTCGGGCTTCTGGACTTGCTCTTGACATATTCCCCTTAGGGTGGACACCCACCCCCACCCCCACCCCAGCCCCAGCCCCAGCCCCAGCCCCAGCCCCAAGATTCGCTCTCTTCCTGCCTGGGACCAAAGCGGGCCTTCTCTCTTCCCTCAGTCTCACGCGGGTTCTTGAGTATCTGCCCCGAACGCTTTGATGTGTGTGGAAGCGGTCCGGTTTCAGGCCAAGTCTGAGTTCAGGTGTCTCCGCTGCAACTGCTAAGGAGTGTGGAGGACCACCTGGAGGACTCTCCTCGAACAAAGAAGAACACTTATCTCCAGGTGGGCTAAAGCAGGCCAGGCCCTGTCTCCACGGGCTGATAAGGACAGAGCCCACCGAGCCATTACCTTTTTGCCTTCCATGGGCTCTAAGCCATGTAAATGGGGCTGGCCGAGGAGGTGCTGACGCGTGATCTTTGAAGCTCGGTGGCGGTCCCTGTTCCCCTGCCCCGTGACCCCCCAATCCAAACGTGGTTGAGCCGGGCGGGAAGCAGAGCCACCGCTCCAGGGCCGTCAACTGGGTTCCAGCCTCGAGGTGAGAGGCTACGGCTTCCCCGGGCATGAAGCTCTACACTACAGGTCAGAGCTGAAGCATCGCCCTCCGAACATGAAATGCTGCCTCAGTTGCCTTACGCAGATGGGTCTTTCTGCACGTTGGAGGGGTGGTTGCAGGTCTCGTGCGTGGCCCAGCTCACAGTACTCACGGCATTCCCGCCATTGTCGCAGTGGTTCATCCTCTAGCCACTGCCTTCTTCACGAATTAATAAAATCCGGGTTAGGCCCTGGGTCGAGGCCTTTGTTCCCGATGACCCTTCACCCTGGCCGGACTTAGGACCCCTCGGCGCGCCCGCACAGCCACCCCTCCCCGCCCCCGCCCCCGCCCCCAAGTATAAATGTGTCTCGGTGTCTTTAATTCTTGCCATGGGTTGCACCGGAAGTTGGTAGATCGGAAATCAACCTGCTAGAATTCCGATAACGTTTCCATGAGGTTACAAACATCAACTCCCCGCACGCTTGACGAAGAGCCCGGGGAAGGGATGTCTGCAAAGAAGGGTGTTTGTGGAAGCAGACATCAGACAGGAATCAGGTGGAGAGCTCTGAAATTCAGTCTCGGCCCTGCCCTACTGGGCCCCCCCACCAAGCCCCGACCCCATTGCTGCAATGTTAGGTGGGGCTGGGGCATCAGGTTAGGCCTCTGAGCCTCAGAGTCATCACCTGGTTGTTTGTTGGTTTGTGTGGTGTGGGTTCGTTGGTTGTTTCCTTTGCTGTTTTCTCAGTATTAGGATCGAACGCAGGGGCTCAGGCGTGCTCTCAAGCACTCTGCCACCGAGCTGCATTCCCAGCCCGTGTGCGCCTGTCCCCGTGGACGGGACGAGCTCTGCTAGCTCCGCCGTGGACACAGCCGAGCTCACTTTCCTTGACTGCGGCGGCAGGCCTTGGTAGACTTGGTTTCATGGGCCCGCCATTGGCTCTGGACTTTGGGGGGCCAGCAAAGAGAGTTCTCAGAGCTAGGTGCTGGAAGGTCTCCTTCGCTGGAAGGAGGTGGGGCTTCGGGAGTTATGAGAGAGTGGGGTGGGGTGGAGTGGGGTGGGGCGGGGCGGGGCGGAGCGCTCCGTGTGGGGGGGGGGGCGGGAGAGAGCTGGTGCAGGGCTGAAACTCCGCCAGACTGAGAGAGGGTGGCGGCAGCATTATCCTTCCCAGGTCTGGTCCTCGAGAATAAACACACACACACACACACACACCCGGCGACCTGTTATGGCAGGTGCGCTCGAGGACCCACAAGGGGCCAGTTCGGCAATGTGGGTCCCTCCCTTCTCTACAAAGGCCCAGCTGTAGGCCACGAGCCGCTTTCCTGAAAGCATAGAGTTCTCTGCTGGAATAGGCAGCGGCCCCAAAGACCCTGTGACTGAAACACCCACTGCAGAGGAAATAACATTGTCAAGAACCAATAGCGGGAGCCCCACAGGCACGTCCCGCATCCTAGCGCAGGGAAGGCCATGGGCGGGCGGGCGAGAGGACCGCTGGGGATTGGAGGCCTGCTTCGGCTAATAGTGAGTGTGAGTCCCCGTCAGGAGGAGGAGGAGGAGGAGGAGGAGGAGGAGGAGGAGGAGGAGGAGGAGGAGGAAGAGGAGGAGGAGGAGGAGGAGGAGGAGGAGGACGACGACGACGACGACGACGACGACGACGACGACGATGGCGGCGACGCCAGGAAGGAACAAGAAACATCAACAGACGGGGTCACAGCATGTGGAAGAGCTTCTGCACAGTAGAAGAGGCGACCAACCGTGAAGAAACTGTCCACGCCATGGGAACACGTTTCCTCCCAATATCCTTCAGGCAGATATCCAGAACAGCGCAGGGGTTCCTTTTAGAGTTCCAGGGCCCAAACTGCAACCTCAAGCCCACTCGTTTCGTTTATCGCCAAGTGGTAACCCTGCCACGTGACTCGAGTGCGGAGGATTCAGTTGAGGAAAACCAACTCAGACGCGAGTGAACATCTTTGGTCTTCAAAGGAAGCCACCACCATATCTCCCTCATACACACACGCACAGGCACACTCGCACGCGCGTGCACGCACACACACACTCACACACACACACACACACACACACACACACACACACACGATCGGTCTGGCCACCAGCGTGGAAGTATGCATATATCAAGAACTCAAAACATGAGGACTCCCCGCAACAGTAGAAAAGACCCGATCGAAACATGGGGATCCTGAAAATAGTAAGATAGGCACGTGAAGGAGGAGGACAAATGCTGGATCCCTGAAAACGTGTTCAGCAGCTCTGGCCGGCAGAGCAAGAGCAATGAAAAGAGTACCGAGTCCACCTCCCTCCAGAAGGGAGGGCTCCCATCCGGCAATCAAAGCACAGCCAGCCAAGGGCGGAGGGTGAGTCTGCAGGGAGAAGTCTGCGGTTCTTCGTGGGTGGGCGGGAAGAAGCTCGAGTGGTAGGGGCACTACGTAGGGAAATCAGTGTGGGGAGGCCTGGAAAGACCAGGGGCAGAAATTCCGCTCCACCCCAGCTATCTGCTTTCTAGGCTCCTTGCCGAAGGAGCCAAGGACATCTCACGTCACAGGGCCTCCTTTCTCGGGAGGAGCACCTGCCCTTGGCGCTCGGGCGCGCCCCGGGTCTCTCCCTCTGATACAACCTGTCTGTCCCCTCTCTTTCCCCCAAAGAGACAGCACCAGCACGGTACAGTGATACACGTGTACCCGTGTTCACGGCAGCACGATTGGCAAGAGCCGAGTCACGGAAAGAGGCCGCGTGTGCACTGGCCGACGACTGACTGGGTGAGGCAAACGTGGTATGTGTGTGTGCACGATGGCGCCACTACGTTGCCACGCAGGATCAACTCGAGGAGCCATCAGCAGGGGAAACCCGGGGGTGCACGCTGCACCATAACAGCGGCAAGTGCGATCCATCCATCCATCCGACACGCAAGCCCAAAGAGCGCGTGGTTCGTCCGATAGTTGAAATGGAAAACTACAAACCAAAAGAGTTTTTGGAAAGACAGGGCATGCAAAACAGGGCAGGGAGCGAGGTCTTGTGCAAAAGTCAAGGAAGGAGACAGGAGACTGCTAGATTGAGGCAGAGAGGTTCGCGAAGGGCCACGCAGAAAGCGGAAGACGCGTGCTGAGGATGGCTTTGGCTTTTGGAACCGTGCTGTCTCCCGTGCGGTGATGTGGTTTTCCACAGAGACACGCAGCCCCGCACGTCCCGGAGAGGAGAGAAGCAGGCGTGAAAGCAGCAAAAGCACAGGCTAGAAAGCATGGCGAGCGTGCAAGGCGCCGCCCCTGCCCGTGAGGATAAGCGTGCAAGGAGAAAGCAGAGCAAGAGAGAAGCAGAGAAACAGAATAGGCCAAGGCAGACCAGGCACCAGGCGGGCGTGAAGCAGGGCCAAAGAGACAGCCAGCGCGCGACTCAACAGCAACGAGCCAGCTACCAGGCAAGGGCTGGTGAAGCAATGCTGCGCTGATGGCTGCTGATGGCGGTGACAGCAGAGCCGACCCTCGCATACAAAGGCGAGCGGACACAAGGGCTTCCTTTTGCACAGGCGGTCATTTCCCCGGGGAGGGGTGCACCGTTCCTGGAGGTACTGCAATACCAGGTCGATGCGTGGAGTGGACGGAGCAAGCTCCTATTCCATCTCCCAGCTCCAAAAATCCATTTAATATATTGTCCTCGGATAGAGGACGTATCAGATATTAAACTGATAAGAACAGATACTACACTTGATCTTAGCCAAAAGGCCGAGAAGCGATGCTACCCGGCTCCCCCGCACTTCTTGCCGTCCTCCCGCGCTCCACATTTCACGCCCGGTGACAAAAACAACCCTCACTCCGCCTCTCTCGGCCTCTTGCTCCTGCACACCCATGCGCACACCGTCCTACTCGTCCTACTCGGGTGCACGCTTCTCATTTCACGCAGTTTTCCGGGCCAGCTTCTCGCCCCTCTTACGCCCTCCCGGCGTCCCCGGCACTCGGTCCCGCCGCTCATCTGCATGACCCGCCCTTCCTTCCCCGAGGAGGCGTGGCTGCGCCCGCCGACCCCGCCCTCCCGACCGGCTCTGCGCCTGACCGGCGGGGGGCGGGGCGCTGGGAGCCGCTTCCTGCTTGCTGTCCCCGCCCAGTCAGGACAGCCGACCAGACGCCGCGAGACGGGAGGAGGCGGGACGTGGCGGGGGGCGGGGGCGGGCAGGGGGGCCCCGGAGGCGTGCAGAGGGCTCGCCGCGGGAGGGGACGACGTGGGGGGGAGGCTGCGGGGGGGGGGGCGTGGCCAGGCGGCGCCAGCGTGCGGGCCTTCCCGCAGAGAAAGCGGGTGGCGAGACACGTGGCGCCACTAGCGCCGCCAACTGTGTGCTCATCCCGGGCCTCCTTCGTTCCTGGGCCCGGCTGGGGAGCGGGTGAACCGAGCGAGGACGGTCCTCCCCTCCCCGCTCGCGGTGCGCTGACTGACTCAGAGGAGAGAGCCCCTGGGGGTGGGGGTGGGGGTGGGGGTGGGGGTAGGGGGGGCACCGTCTCGACTGCGGGCGTGGAGGCAGAAGATCTGGCTGGATAGAGGCGGCAGGACACCCGGTGGCTGCGGGCGCACGCCCTGGGAAGAAGCCCGAGGTCAAGGCCCCGGGGAAGGGGAAGGCGGGGATGGAGTGTCCCTTGGAGAGGGACACCCTCCGGAGTAGCCCTCCTGCCATCCCTCGGCACTCGGGGGTGGGGGCGGGGGTTCAAGCGGCGGGAGGGTCGGCTCCCAAGTTGGACCCCACTCGGGAAATGGAACGCAAGTTAGGAGACCTTGTCCCACACGAGGATGTTTTTTTTCAGTGTGGCTAACTCAAAAGTGTAAACGTGCCCTTATTGTCCACCCCCCGCTGTGGACCGAAACGCAGAGAGACCAGTCAGTTTTCCAGGGTGACACAGCTAAACTGCATCACGGTCCAGGCCCAGACTTCCACCCAAGCAATCCCTCGAAACCCCCTGGCGTCTCGTGGCTTCAGAGCAGACTGGGGAGCACGGGTCGAGTCGAGTACCAGGAATAAGCGAGAGAGGAGTTAGCATTTTCTTAGGCTTGGAGCACAGTGGCCCTCAGATGGAGTCGGGAAGGCCCCCGACAGCCTGCCCAGTCAAGACCCTCCAGGGACCCCAGGGGGAAACCAAAAATGCGGCAGGTGTCTTTGGGCTGTCTGGGACACACACCGGAGCACTATCCAGACAGGATAGTCGAGGGCGGGCACACGGGCCCTGCAGGGGACACTGCGTGAGCACTGGATAGACCAGATCCTGACAGAAAAGAAAAAGAACCAACACATGGATACATATCCATATCCATCCAGCCAGCCAGCCAGCCAGGCATCCATCCATCCATCCAAATATACATACACTCAGATACACACACACACACACACACACACACACACACACACACACAGCGCTCAGTTCAGCAGCACATATACTAAAATTGGCATGATACAGACATCAGCCAGGCCCCTGCGCAAGTGAAGCGTCCCATAGTTTTAAAAACCAAACCAAAGAACCAACTGAACTATATACAGTCTCCATGTAAGGCGGGGATCGTGTTCTTCTGTGTCTTCCACAAGGGCCCGGGCCCTTCCACAAG